TTCTTTCCTTCTTTCGTTCTTTCCTTCTTTCGTTCTTTCCTTCTTTCTTCTGCTCTGGGCACCGTCACCATCTGCTCTATTTGTTCTCACTACCCCCCCCCCCCCCCTTTCCTCCGCCTACCCCACCCTCACTCCCACTCCCACTCCCACTCCCACCCGGCAATAAGATGAAAAGCACAGTTTCCAGCCCCTTTCAATTCTGAAGAAAAGTCATACTGGACTCAATGTCAACTGTTTCTCTCTCCACAGATGCTGCCAGACCTGGTGAGTTTTTCCAGCATTTTCTGTTTTTATTAGGCAGAAGTACTGATTGTGCATGCTGAGACAGCTGAAGTAATTCTGGGACAGGTGACAGTTTTAAGTGATGTGACAAGCGTTAGAATATACGTGTAACAAGGTTTGATAAGCAGGTGAAGTATGCAATAAATTCAAATGATAGAAATGCATCATTTGTTTGCAAGGAGTCTGGCTTGGAGTGGAATGGGACAATCCTGAACGAGGAAAGCACAATGGGACACATGAAGGTGTGCAGTATTTCCAATGCAGGTACTTGAATTTCTTTTCTCTGCCTAATCTCTTTCACAATTATGTGAGCTGCATCCATTTATCCCTTCCAATTTTCAATCTCCATCTCATGCCCCAACACCTAGATAGTGGGAAGGTGACTGGAAATCTGACCTTTTGTCAAACCTGTTCCTGTGATCTATGAGTTTTAGCATCTTTTACGGCACCTAAGCACTGGCTTATGCATGTCTGCACATCCCTTAGATCCAGTCCACTTTAATACTCTGCATGTTTTACCTCTCTTTACTGCCCAAAGGTACTGATCGTACGGGGATAGACCCAGAGGATCCACTTCCATTCATAACATAAGACATTAACTTGTACTATGTTATAAACCATCAGGTTCCAACCCTCACTGGTAATAATAATAGTTAATAAATTAACTTCAAAAATATTGCAGTAAATTTGTGGTGTGTGTGTATGCAGTGCTTTGTAGTAGAAGTCACTATGGATATGCAGCCTGTTCATGGATTGCATTCTGACAGGGCAGCTTGTAGGATTACATCAATTTTTCCAAAGGGTGATCTCGTGTTACGCTGTCACTGAATTGATACTAGATATTTGGAGACTGGGACTGTCTGGTGTGAAAGTTTCTCGGTTCTGAGGAAGGGTCACCAGACCCAAAACGTTAACTCTGTTTTTTCCTTCACAGATGCTGCCAGACCTGCTGAGCTTTTCCACCAACTTTGTTGTTGTCTCTGATTTACAGCATCCGCAGTTCTTTCGGGTTTTTCTCCGATGATATGTCAGCTGAGTCTACGCTTACTTGGTGCTGTGGCAGGAGGGGGTGCTGGTATTGGTGGTGGTGTGTGTGTGGATGATGAATTGAAGTTAGATATAGGTCCAGACCAATAAGGGCAGCGCAACTTTCCTTACCTAAAGGAACATTGATGAATCAGCTGAGTTTTATGAAAAATTGCAACAGCTTCACAAACTCTTTTAGCAAGACCAGCTTTTTATTTCCAGGTTTTAAACTGAAGTCAAATTTTCATGCTGTTCATGGTGGGGTTTGAACTCCTGTTTTCTTGATACTAAAAATAAAGCAATGATGTTACCATTCCTTAACAGATTATTTATAACGATCTTTTCCTTAGTATTCACATTAAAACAGAGATCCCCTCTTCTTTCCCTCTCCTCTATATAATCTTGTTGTTTCCCAGCTTGCCACCCATCCGTGTTGTCATCTCCTGACCTGCTAGTGGCCAAAACCTCTAGATCCTGACTGCTTTCCCTCTTTTTTTTGAGAACGGGAAAGGAACGGGAGGAGGGAAACTGGGGAATTGCTCAGAATTGGAGTGAGCTCTGGATCCTGATTTAGAAGGAGAGCAATGACTAAGAGTTAAACTTTTTGTCACAGTCACCCCACAGGTGGCTCGTTCATTCGCCCTCAAAAGGCAAACTTTGGAGTCGATTTTCTCACAGCAGTGAGGGACCGCTATGGCCAGGAGGGCAATCAAGGAATACAGGACTGCCGGGGCAATCCGCTTCGCTGGGGCAAGAAACCTATTGAATTCTTGGGAAGCCAAGACGTTAAACAAAGGTAATTGCAGAATGGCACAGAGCAGGAGGAGGCCACGTGTTTTATCATGGCTCTTTGAAAGACTCACCATTCTTCAAAACACAGGATGTACCATGCACATAAGAAGGAAAAACATTCACAAATACATATGCTGCACTGAATCTGGAAACCAAGACCAAATGAACCAAACATAATAACAAATTGTTTCAGCTACTGCTATAGCAGAATGGAACAACTTAAAGCCTTGAATTGTTGAAGCAGACGAATGATGGTGATTCAGTGTGTTCTGAGATGCACGGTCATGTTGGAAATGCTCCTTCCATAAGTAATATAAATAATGCTTGCACAGGGATCAGCACTAGGACCACAACTGTTTGCAATATATATTAAAGACTGGAGGAAGAAAGTGAATGTACAGTAGCCAAAATTGCAGGTGACACAAAAATAGGTGGAAAAGCAGGTCGCAAGAGGGATACAAGGTTTGCAGAGAGATTTTGATAGGTTAAGTAAGTGGGCAAAAAGTTGGAAATAGAATGTACTGTGGGAAGATGTGAAGTTGTTCATTTTGGCAGAGCAAATAAGAACAGTATTATTTAAATGAAGAAAAGTTGCAGAAAGTTTCAACACAGCGGGACTTGGGGGTAGTTGTACATGAAACACAGAAAACTAGCACATAGGTGCAGCAGGTAATCAGAAAAGTTAATGGAATCATTTCATTGGAGGCTGTTCAGAGGAAGGGTCACAGGAATGCTCCCTGGTATGGAAGGATTGTCTTATGAGCAAAGGGTAAATAGACAGGGACTCTAGAAGAATGAGAGGTGATCTCACTGAAACATATAGGATTCTTAAGGAGTTTGACAGGGTAAATACTGAGAGCGCATTTCCCCTCTTTGGGGAGTCTAGGACCAGAAGGCATAGGATCGGAATAAAGGGGCGCCAATTAAAGACCAAGATGAGGAGAAATTTCTTCTCACAGAGGGTTGTGAGTCTTTAAGACTCCTCATCACAGAACTGTGGAGTTAGGATCCTTGTGTATACTTACGGCTGAGGTATATAGATTCTTAATCAGTAGGGGAATCAAGGGTTAGGAAAGTGAACTTGAGGAATGTTGGATCAGCTACGATCCTATTGATTGGTAGAGCAGCCTCAAGGGGCCAAACAGCCTACTCCTGTTCCTATTTCTTTAGGTCTCCTCATCCCTGGCAGATTTTCTGAGCTGGGGACCCACCCTCCTTTCCCACGAGGATGACCAGAAGTTGGTTGTACATTCCACTCTTTCTTATGGAATACCTGAGATTTGTGTTATCCCATGCTTAACTACCAGGTCGGAATCCGATCCAGTTTGGTTCCTCCTATATTAAACCATAAGGGATTGTATTCTCCCTTTCTCCAGCAACCTTGCTGTTCTAAACAGGCGCGGATCATAGATCCATCTGTAGGGGATAGGCTGCAGTATCTGTTGCCCAATACCTAACTGGGACTGAAGCACTTCGGTTTTTGGAAAAGACGCTAAATGCACAATGAGATTTTCTTTTTCATTAAGTGGCCTGGATTATTAATCTACATTTTCACCTTTCCTGGCAGTCAGAGGCATGGATAGGATAAATAGGCAAGTTCTTTACCCGGCGTGGGAGAGTTCAAAACTAGAGGGAACAGGTTTAGGGTGAGAGGGAAAAGATATAAAAGGGACCTAAGGGGCAATTTTTTCACGCAGAGGGTGGTGTGTATATGAAAGAAGCTGCTGGAGGAAGTGGTGGAGGCTGGTACAATTACAACATTTTAAAGGCATCTGGAAGGGTATATGAATAGGAAGGGTTTAGAAGGATAAGGGCCAAACGCTGGCAAGTGGGACTAGATTTATATAGGATATCGGTTGGCATGGATGAGATTGTCTGTTTCTGTGCTGTATATCTCTGTGACTCAGTGACTCTAATTGGAGTGTTTGTATTGTTACGCTGTTGTGTGGGTCAGGCTGGATTTTCTGTCCATTACTGACTGTATGTCTATGGTTTTCCCTGCACTATATTTTGAGTGAGAGAATAAATGAGGATAGGCCTAACTGTACTCCGAACCACAGAGCTGCAGTATTGTCATGTCTAGGTCCAACCCATTTGCTGTAATATTAAAAATAATCTGTCACTAGGAATACCCCAATGCATCAAAGAAAACCTGACAATATTTTTGGAGCCAAGCTCTAAAAACAGACCAGTCTGGTCATAGAAGTTAACAATTAAATAGATATGCATAGGTGAAGTTATACTTCATAATCACATCACATCACATGTACTGTGAACATAAATCATCTCTGTCCACACCCGGAAACCAAAGTGATGAGAAATATGAGATATGGTTATTCATCTTTTAAACTGCTTCTCACACAGTTAAATGTCATTCAATTGAAAGCAAATGTTTTTAAACAGGAGCTGCCCTGTTGTAGGTCAGCAGAAGCTCTAACCATATCCAATTTTTTCTGTCTGTCTGATATACAGGTGGTTTGATGCATTGTTGATTGTTTCAGTCAGTGGGTGTCAAGTGAGCCATGTCAATGAAGAGGAGGAGATCTCAGAAGTCTGCCCAAGTATCCTTACAATATTCATGTGCTGATTTAAAGGAACACTGTATGTATTGTCTGTTAGAAAAAGAAACATGCAAAAGCAAAAGTATATTGAGCCACTTATGGAGTCTTCAGCTTGTATCGTCTTGGCTGGAGTTTCATGACTGGATACACATGGCTTTTCTTCTGTTTGATTTTGATTTGATAGAGGTCTTTATGGAAGGGTTTGGTAGGATAAATGAAGAAAAGATTATTTTGTTTGGACAGGACTCCAAACCCGTGGGCCGTAAGTATAACAGAGTCATCAGAAATCCAATTAATTAAGAATTCAGGAGAAACGTCTTTCCCAAGAGAGTGATTGAAATGTGGAATTCACACATGGAATGAATAGCATAGATGCATTTATCAGGAAGCTGGATAAACTCATGAAGGATAAAGACCCAGAATGTTGTGTTGATAGTGTTGGATGAAGTAGGTTGGGGAAAGGCTTGTATGTAGCAATGACCTATTGAACCAAATGGCTATTTCTGCACTTTATGTTCTATGTAGCAGCTTTTCAAAAAACGTATTCTTTAGTTATTGCAAGCTCTTGTGCTATAGCATCTTGATATGCAGCATACATAATGCGTAGCATATGAAGTCTTCAAGTGGACTGGAATATTGCTCGTCAATAATTGAGATGAAGGCTTGGTCCAGCTCATCATATCGTGCAAACGGTAGAATCTCACAATGTGCTTTCCTCCTAGATGGTGCCTAAGTTATATGGTGAAGTGTTGATGGCAGTAGAGCACAAATGGGGATCAAAGTTTGGAGGATTTCTCCTGATTAAGACTCTGTGCATATGGTTGTGGGCTATTATCAATAATGTCTCAAATCAACTCATTGGACTAAGGATGGGACGAGCAAGAGAGAGAGAGAGCTGCTGCTGTTCATTTGAATGGGACGTGCCGCCAGCTATAGCTGAGAGAAGAGCTAGAGCTTCATTTACGCCAAATGCATTAAAATTGCGGAAAAGTCCATAAACTTTATTATACCCTAAATTAACGAATTTTATCATCATTAAACAGTTATAGATTGCATTGATATAAAACCTTAATGTAATAAAATGTCCCGAAGTGTTTTACAGGAGTATTCTCAGACAAAATTTGACATTGAGACACCTATCAAGATATTTGCATACCTGACTAAAAGCTTGGTCTCAGATTTTTAGATTTTTAAGGTGTAAGTTCAAGGAGAAGTGGAAAGGTAGAGAGGCATGGGAGGGAACTCCAGAGTGTAAGACCTAGGAGATTGAAAGTGTGACCATGGTTTGTTTCAGAATAGGGTTTCTTTGTGTCTAATGAAGGTGGAGTCACAGGTAGTTAGGATAGTGAAGAAGGTGTTTGGTATGATTGCCTTTATTAGTCAGTGAATGAGTATAGGAGTTGGGAGGTCAGGTGAGTGGGGAAAGATTTAAAAGGGACCTGAAGGACAACTTTTTTCACACAGGGTGGTGCATGTATGGAATGAGCTGCTGGAGGAAGTGGTGCAGGCTGGTACAATTATGATGTTTAAAAGGCATTTGGATGGATATATGAATAGGAAGAGGTTAGAGGGATATGGGTGAAATGCTGGCAAATGGGACTAGATTAATTTAGGATATCTGGTTGGTATGGACGAGTTGGACTGAAGGGTCTGTTTCTGTGCTGTATAACTCTATGACTCTATAATTAAATCTTCATAGGTTTTTAAAGACATTGGAAAGTCTTCACTGAGCCAAGTTGAGACTACTTGATATTTCATTCTCTTTGGTTACACACAACTAATGGTTAGAGCTCCATCTCAGGCACTTCTCAGAAATTGCACCAAACTTCCAAGCTGCATCAGGTTTCTGGGAACTAATCCAACTGGTTACTGTCAAGCCATCAGTGGAGTCAGCAGTTGCTTAGTGAGACGTTATGAGACATGGTGCTCACAGAAAGACAATGAAAAGTAGGCGGAGAGAAGAATGTGTGCACATGTTGAAGGGGACTTACTTTTTCAACCAACAGATGGAGCAATTGGATATGATGCTTGTCTTTGTTCTGCAGTAGCGTACTGCAGTAGGCCTAATGCTACTCTGGCTGAGAACAGTTAATTTGGGGCCTTCCTAGGCTGGCATGGTCAGCTAATCACTGTAAAAAGCACAGAAGCTATCTGGAATCTTGGATGTAACTGCTTTGATCATTTTCTTGTGAAGATAGATTGCCTTTTCAATTTCACAATTCTGTTGCTGATTTTGGGATCTTACCACATGCAAACTGGATACCATGTTTCCCTACATTACAACAGTGACTACACTTCAAAAAGTAGTCTACTGGCTCTGATGTATTTTGAATGCCCTGAGGTTAATTTTCTAAAAGGAAAATACAAGCTCTTACCTTATTGCTTTATTTCCCTCAGGCACACTTCATACCTATCTTAAAGAGGTTAGTTGATCAACTTAATATTGCTTCACAGGTGATGAGTTCATCGTCCCAGCATAGTTATTGCAGAACTGGGGAATCATACCTTGATTGCAGCCAAGGCAGGTTTATCAAATCTTTGCCTTCACCATGTTCTTTCAGATATTATAGAGCTGGATTTAGCCAAAAACCTGCTTGCTTCCTGGGATAAGGTTGCACAAATTACTCGACAGTTGAGGAAACTTGAACACCTTGATCTCAGGTATGGAATCTATGTAGGTTACTGAAGGCTGGTAATTTCAGCAACTTCTTATTATAAACCCAATTTTATTTTAGCTGGGGAGACAGTCTGTTATCAAAGCAAGGTGCAGGAAAATAAAGCATTATTTGGTTCCAAGTGAAATTCATCTGTTTAAGATGTCATAACTGTCTGTGGCAACTGTCCCCAGTCTGTTATGGTTCCAGACAGGATATCCCAAATTGTCATGCTCCCAGGTGAGGGAGGAATGGATGGAGTGCTGTTTATTCACTCACCCCCTCAGTTGGTCACAACAAGGTCAATTTAAAAATGGATCTGTTCCCTTGTGGATACCCTTCTGAGAACCAAACGAACTTAATTTTAAAAAGGAGCCAATTTAACCAGACTTTCTTGAATGAACAAAAGATTGAGTTTATTAGTTACTAAACAGGAGAAAAATTAGTAACAAAACACACAAATTAGTACTAAGAAGTGAGTCCAAAAAAGATAAAAATTAAAATAAAGATATATTGTAAGTCTGAGTTGTTCAACAAGAGTAGATAGAATAACATTGTGGCCTTTACATTAGATGGTACCAGTAGTGTTGATATTGGTGGTTGAGGGGTTAATTTCAAAGTTCTTGACTTTTCAGGTTGATTGAGATTCTTTAGTCCTGGTTCCTCTCAATGGTAGCTGACTGGCAATACTCAGAGCAAATGAGTTCTATCCCTTTCTTTAGCCACAGTGTAGGGGTGTTCTCAAACTGTGATCTTCACTACACACTGATCTACAACTAGTACATCAGGCTGTTAACACACAGACCAGGGCTTAGAGTCACTTTTACTGTGTGTTCCTGAAACTTTGCCAAATAATGAGTCAATTTACATCTTTTAGTTGGAGCAGTCGTATTTCGAAAATCACATTTTGGAATTTAAAGTTCCAAATGTTCACAAGTGCTTGTATGATCTGTTACTTGTATGATTGATCATGAGAGGAGAAATGACCTTAAGATTCTGTTCTATTCTAAATTCAAGCTCGGCCATCCAATACTGCATCAAGAAACATTTCCTCAGGCAAAGAATTGTGGAAATTTAACACACTGTGATTACCCCCAAAAGCTGTTGAAGATTGTAAGGTTTTTTGTGAGACAAGGGTATGAAGGTTTATGGAGCCCAGGTGGATTAATCCAATTAATATACAGATCAGCTATAATCTAATTGAATGGTAGGGCAGACTTGAAGTCCTGAAGACTCCTATTCCTGTTCCAATATTATTATTAATCAAATGCTGTTTATCGAGGGCTGTCCAAACTTTTGTCCATCATCAGCGTAAGACCCAACAACCTTATCAGGATAACTAATGTGTTCAGTGGTGCTTCTGCCCAGTGACCATATAAACATTTTCAACCATGAACATAAATGATTTAACAGCATCATGGGATTGTAATTCATTCTATTTGGTTCTGATAAAGGTACTTTCAAATTTTATGAAGCTAATGTACATGTGCATTGATATCTTATTTTATGAAACAATTCCATGGTTATGGCTACATTCACGTGAGCTATGAGCTATCAGTTTAATCTATTTGATAATCAAAAGATGGTGTGGTTAAACCGCAGTGCAGAACCCTGAGTGTATAAACTGGGGTGACACTCCCCTGTGTAGTATTCACGGAGTACTGCTTTCTGGTGAGATTTTAAACCATGGTCCTGAGTCCTCTCAAGTGAACATTATTATTACCCTGTTAGCTTACAATTTCACCTTAAATTAAACAGACATCCCCAAAACATCATAAACTTATAAATTCTGTATTTGTAACGGATAATTGTGGCTCTTAAAGGGATGCTCATTCTCTGTTTCAGCACCCGAGGCTTTGCAATGTTAGGTCAGAAGTTGTATCAATATATTTTCATTCATACTTGGAAAAGAGGTTGGTTTTATTTCTAGCTTTAAGACAGATTCATAACCAATTTTGGATTAGATAACGAGTTTCATATCCTGCTTAGAAAGTTTTTCTCCCCAGACTATTAACCTAAAAGCCTGCTGGCAAAGGGAAACGCACCTCTGTTTCTCTGGATAGCATTTGCAGCACAGTAACCTGCAATAGTACATGCTTTTATCGTGACCTGAGTGCTCAGGGTGACAGATGAGTTGGTGCAGCAGTGATCCAAGCTGCCCTGTGATTTTCAAACTCTTCTCACACGTGGTGCTTGGCTGAATGCCAGAGTTCTCTGCCTTTTGGTCTTTTTATTTCCAACTCTTATAGAGGTTTATTAAATCATGAGGGGCATAGATAGGGTGAATAGCAAAGGTTTTTTCCTTAGGGTGGGGAATTTCAAGACTGGGGGCATTTTTTTAAGGTGAGAGGAGAAAAAAATAATAAACGACATGAGGGGCAACATTTTTATGCAGAGAGTGGATAGTGTGTGGAAATGAGTTGCCGGAGAAGTGGTGGATGCAGGTACAGTTACAACATTTAAAAGACATTTGGGTAAGTTCATGAATAGGAGGGGTTTGGAAGGATATGGGCCAAACGCAGGCAGGCAGGTGGGACTAGTTTAGTTTGGTATCATGGTCAGTGTGGACGAGTTAGACCAAAGGGTCTATTTCCATGCTGTATGACTCTATAACACCTTTATGCCCCCTTCCAGCCTGTCTCTGTATCCCTTCATTAAAGGTGGAGTTAGAACTGCTTACTGTAATATCTCATTCAACAATTCTTTTTGCTTATTGTTAAATACTTGCCAGTAAAAACTGACCAGGCTGATGGTCTTTTATTTGGTGGGGAGATGATTAAAGATGACCGAGGTTAGAACATAGAACAGTACAGCACAGTACAGGCCCTTCGGCCCACGATGTTGTGCTGAACTTCTACCCTAAACCTAAGGTCTATCTAACCTCCACCGCTATCTTATACTATCATCCATGTGCCTATCTAATAGTCGCTTAAATGACCCTAATGAGGCTGACTCCACTACCCTCACCGGCAATGCATTCCACGCCCCTACCACCCTGAGTAAAGAGCCTACCTCTGACATCTCCCCGATATCTACCTCCTTTCACTTTAAAACTATGTCCCCTCGTAATTCTTAACATTATGATGGGATTTACCAGGATAGAGGTTGAAGATTCCAAAACCAGGGCTCATAAGGTAGTTGCTACAGCCGGAGTATTTGAGGTGAATTGAATAGACATATTTGTAGGAACACTGGATGAACTCCGATAGGATCGATGTTTAAAGGGATATGGTTATGGGATGAGAAGTGGAAAGAGGATTGTGAGAAGGCCAGTGTTGACTAGTTGGGCTGAACTCCCTGTGCCAGTGATTTATATTCTGTGTCAGGCATTGTCTAGAACAAGGTAATGAGGCAGAATAGGTTTGTGCAGTCCCTCAGAAGTGCAGTTTCCTTAAGAGACAAAACTGCAAGTCTGGTCTTCGATCTACACAGGGTTTGACCATTTTTCTACATGGAATTGGACTGCAATCATAGAATGGGGGAATGCTTAATGAAGGAGGCTGCTCTCTCATTCACTGCCATCTCACCTGATTCGTGGATAATACCTTTGCATATTGAGCTCTTCTTGTCATTTGGGTGCAGATGTAAAGAGTGATCTTTCAGTGATGTGATTAGACAGTGTGGGTAATGAGGATTAAGTAACTGGCAGTCTAT